CCCAAGCTGGGATGGCCCAAGGTGGGACAGTGAGGCGCCGTGACGCCCCGTCTCGGGCGGGCTGTGCCGCCCTCTCCTGCCGCGTCCCCTCGCGCCGTCACCGGCCCCTGGGGACGCGTTTGCCCACGCACCCCTCCGCCACCCCTACTTGGCCTCGCCAGGCCCGTGCGCTCCCTCTCCTCCCTTCCAACCCTCCCCCTCCCGCCAGCGCCTCCTCCCCTGGCCAGCACTGCTTTGTCCTCACCCTTCCCCAGATCGGAATGTCCTCCCACCCCACCTCCACCCCCCACTCCCCACTCCCGCCATCGGGGTGTTTTTCTTCTCCAAGCCTAGGCCATTCCAAATTCCCGGCCTCCCAGAAGCCTCACCTATTTCGCACCCCTCCACCCCTGGTCCCTCCCCCACAGCCGTTGGGCCCAGTTTTTCTTACCCTTCCGCGCAGCCTTTTTCTCCCCAACGAATCAGAAACTTAAGGTATAACTTTTCTGCTACCACAGTCAAATCTACAAATATTTATTGAGCACCTACTATGTCTAGACACTGGTGGAGAGATATAAGATTATAGTCGCCACTTGCAGTACTAAAAGTCTGTGCCTGCTTGGGAGGGAGGGAGGGAGGGACCCAAGGCCACACAGCTGGTGGCAGTAGGGGCCGGAATTAGAAGCCAGATTCCTGGGATCTGGTTTAGGCCCATTCCAAAGGAAACTGCAGGATGCTGCTGACCTGCTGTTAGAGCTTGAGCAAAAAAACCGTGTCCTTTCTTTATCTGTGAAATGAGTAAGATTCCTAGCCCACCAGATTATAAAGATGGCCTGAACAAACGTTTGGGACTCTCACACAACCTGTACTTAATAAGTAAATGTTTACTGACGTAGTGAATGATATGGTTGAATGTTCAATGATTTAAAATAATGTAAAGATTTTAAAAAGTAATAGCGAAAAGGAGAAAACATCTGTAAAGCATATATCTGGTAAGTGGTTAATGTACAAACATATAAAGAACTCATAGGGCTCAATGTCAAAAAAATACAATTTAAAATTGGGAAGAGAACTGGAATGAACATCTTTTTAAAAGAAAATACACAAATGGCCAAAAAAATACATGAGAAGGTGGTCAACATAACTGATCATCAGGGAAATGAAAATAAAAACCACAGTGAGAGATCACCTCACACCTGTTAGGATGGCTATTACCAAAAAGACAAGAAATAAGTGCTGGTGAAGATGTGAAGAAAAGGGAACCTTTGTGCACTGTTGGTAAGAATGTAAATTGGTGCAGCCACTATAGAAACAGCATGGAGATTCCTGAAAAAGTTAAAAGTAGAACTACTTATGACCCAGCAATTCTACTTTTGGGTATTTATCCAAAGAAAACAAGATACTAACTCGAAAACATATGTGCACCCCCAAGAGATGGAAGCAACCTAAGTGTTGTCGAGGTAAGAAATGTCCAAACCTGTCGAGCATTCTATTGTTTATTTGAGCCAAACTGACAACAGCTGTGAGGAACTAAATCTTAAGGGACTGAGAAAATGCTCTGGAGGATGGCAGTTTTGCAGCTTATTTTACACATTAGAATCAAAGGAGGAGTTTAAGGAGGGTTACATGACATCCATTGGTGGTGGATTAAGGGGGCAGGAAAAAAAGCAAAGCTGGAGAAATCTCTGGGATTGGCTAAAAAGAAAAACAGAGAGACCTGTACTTCTTTTACATTGGTGGGTACAGATAGTTAATGCCTAACATTTACAGCACATAGGGATGGTATGCGGAGAACAAGAAAACAGTGAGGGGCTCTATGGTCTCATGCTCTTGTGTGGTCAGTGTGCCCTGAGAGGGTTGGAATAGAGGATTACTCTGACATTTCAAAGGTATTTTATCTTAGATGCAAAAAGACAATAGACATGCTCACTTAAGGTAAAGATTGACCTTTGTCAAGGAAACTAAAGGCCCAGGACATGACTACCTGCCATGACCTGCTTTTAGTTAGGAATTTTTATGTTCAGATCATCCTATGTAGTTACTTTCAGTCTCTGAGTTTGTAGAGCTGCCATGTAGGTGTCCCTGAGCTTGTCAGGTTTAGTATTTGGCCCCTTTTTTATTCACAGCGTCCATCGATGGATGAATGGATAGAGAAGATATGATATACATATATCTATAGATATATATATGTATGTGTATATATATCTATAGATATGTATGTATGTATATATACATATATCTATATACATACATATATATGTACATATATGAGAAACCATAAGCTATATCTAGAGACACACAATGTAATATTGTTCGGCCATAAAAAAAAGAAGGAAATCTTGCTATTTGCAACACCATGGATGAACTTTGGAGGCATTATCATAAGTGAAATAAGTCAGACAGAAAAAGACAAATACCATATGATTTCACTTATGTGTAGCATCTAAAAAACAAACACTCAAAAAACACATATAGATGCAGAGAACAGATTGGGGGTTGCCAGTGGTGGAAGTGGAGGGTGGGAGAAATGGGTGGAGGGGGGTCAAAAGGTACACACTTCCAGTTTTAAAATAAATAAGTCCTGGGGATATAATGTACAGTATGGTGACTGTAGTTACTAATACTGTATTGCATATTTGAAAGTTGCTAAGAGTAGATCTTAAAAGTTCTCATCACAAAAAATAAAAAAATCTTTGTAACTGGATGCTAAGTGGACTATTGTGGTAGTCATTTTATAATATATGCAAATATCAAATCATAATGATATATACCTGAAACTAATGTTACATATCAATTATACCACAATAAATAAATAAATGTTTAAAAGGAATAGTGATGTGGCGGGGGAGGGGGGGGAGTGGGAGGGTGCTACTTAAGAATCCAAGAGAGGCAGCAATGGTCAAAAGTCTTTTTGGAGGAAGTGGTTGAGCTGCTCTAGAAATATTGGGTGTAGGTGCTTGTGCGTCCAGGAGTACATTTAAGGTAGATGGGGTGTGGGAACA